CCATATAATCTGCCCTCAGAGTAGTTGGGCCTCGGGCCTGTCCATGTTAACCATAGTCAGATGTATCAGCATGTGGAATTGGAGCTTTCACTGTCCTACTGAATCACACGGCTGCCTGTATTGTTGCATGCAGTGTGATAGTTTCTGAGTGAGCCTGTGCAGAACAGAGTTCAGATAACTTATCTTTAGCCATAATAATGAACAATAAAGCAAGTTAGCAGCTAAAGTGTCAAGCCTATTGCTAGACAGTATTCTTGTGCAAATTGGTATCTATGAAATTTGTAACTTTGTAAGATCATGTTCTTAATCTGTCAAATGCAGTGATAGCATTGAGAAAGTACATTATTATTAAAAGGAAAAAAGAGTTGAGATTAATAGGCAGACATAGCAGCTTCTTTGCCTCTGAATTAAAGAAACCCATGGCGTTACTATGCTTTTGCCACAGCTGTGACAGGCCTGCAGTTCTTTTTAACCAAGCCTAAAAGACTTCTGTGCTGTCCTCAGACTTGACTATAGAAAGCTGAAGGAAACGGCAGCGAATCGTCAAGGCTGGCAAAAGAAATGAAGTCATTGTTCTCATCTGACATTAAAGAGGAGACAGCATCGCCTCCAGTCAGAAAGTAGTTGAACAAAGTTCTTCACAGTCCCCTTCCACTCACTAATAATTCTCTTCCATCCTCAGCTTCTCGCTCTGATGTTTCTCTCCTCTTGGAACTACGGTACATAAACATGCACCTCTGTTGTGAACAAAGACTTTCTTGCAAGTATCCAAGGGACCATGCTTTTTTTTTCCAATCGCAGAGGTATATAAATAATGAACGTCTGTAGGCCTCCGATGTTCCACCTTCAATCGCTCGCTTTCTGCAAACGTCTTCCATTCGTTAACATCTTTCTTTTTCTGCACGCTGAATTATTTACGTTTTGTTCTTTATTTGTTCCACTGCAGAGATAGAACTGCCACTGTGGATGGTCCAATCATTTATTCACTCACTAAAATAGAAAAATCTGTGCAGTTCACTAGGTAGCGAGTGGCCAGTGACACCAGGCAATGACCTCTCGAGATAATGTTGGTGACCGTACAAACTAACATCAAGTAACTAAAACAAAGCCTCAGAGTTTTAGCAAGCAAAGCACATTAACCAACTACAAAGGCATCATGCATAAATAGACAAAAATTAGACTGTTAATGTCCCTAAAATGAAAAATCAAACTTAGTTCAGCTCAGTGTGAAGGGGAACTCCTTAAACCTAAAAAAAAACAAACAAAAAAAAAAAACTTGTGTAGTTCAGTGGTTGAGACGTCAGCGGAGTGTTTTGTTGTGAAATGGTTCATCGTAGAAACAGTTGACTCTGTATTTCTGTTGCCTTCCATCACCCTCATGTACCTCTTTGCTATGAATGGCTTTTAACAATGGGTTTTAGGCCAAAGCTTTATCACAAAACTATCATATAACAATATCTCTGGCATCAGGCAGCATCTCTCTAACTATTTCAGCTAATAATTTTATGAGCTAACTTGACGCTACTAAACTGCAGACGTCTGATTCTTGTCATCCCCACTGTGAACAATTGCGACTGGGTACGCTTCTCTTGAATGGAGCATTTCATCTTAAGCCATCAAACTCTGAATTTTATTACACCCTAATGGTTTAATTATATAAAAAATTGACACATCAATAGAATTAAATCGATTCAGTAATAGAATTCCAAATTTAACTATTACATTTGTTTGTAATTTGTAATTAATTAATTTGTCTCTAGCTACATGCAGAACAACTAATTAGTAATAAATAGTAGTTCTACACATAGTGATTTACTATCTGTGGAATGAAAGTAGGTGACTTGATAAAGCTAGAGGGTCTGAATGCTGAAGATTTAGCATTTAAAGCTGTCACTTCACACACTCAACTTTGATAGCGTGACAGTGAGTGTCTGCTGCTAACTGGCTGGCAAATGACCTAATAACTATCAAAAGGCTGACAGCATATTGCATAGTTCAGTATTTACAAAACAAATCTAAGTGCTATTGATCAGTTATATATAAGTGTCAGTGCTGTTAACAACACAGTCAACTTCTTAATTAATTTTTGTCAGTTGGTTTGATTTGCAGTAGAGTTGTCAACAATACCAATGCTTTAATAGTCAATACCAATGCCAGTGAAATGTGGCCATTCAAATGCAAATGCAAATCCAGTAAACTCAAGTCCAGAGCTCACTGACCAGACACTCTGAAACAGTTGCCAACATAGTGATGTTGGCAGTTATCTTTACAATGTGTGTGAGTCAGCAACATCCCGTCAACAGGATGGTCAGCATTCTCAGACTAAAGCCAATTCTCCAGAACTCTGTGTGATATATGTCATTTCTAAAGAATTCAATAGCATTGTTTGCAGATTGGATTTACTCTGCCAGAAATTCTGAGTATTTCCATAGGCTCAACCCTTTGTTGATGCTACACAGTGGTTCAAATCCACCACTTAACACTCAGTTAAGAGAACACTTTGCAGTGTGTGTTGAAATCTTGGACTGGGCCTTGCCAGACACGTACGCAGGTAGACCCCAGGTAGGGCTGAAGTACCCTCTTGGTGGTTGTGTTTGAATTGTACAATACAATATTTGTATTTTAGATCACATCCGCCATTCTTCAAGATCTAACAGTGAGGCAAAGCTGAGCCTCGCCCCAGGAATCGTGTATTGGCTTGGCTTGTGCAAGATTCATTGCTTGACCACTTGCGGGGATTTCTCCAGTGACTCTGACCTGCCACGCATCAGCACAGTGCTGGTAATCCCACCGATAAAACACTGAATCTCTTTAAGAAAGTGTCACATTCCATAATGTGGTTATGTTGAACCACAACCAAGCATAATGTTGGCAATAAGGGGTGTTATCAACTCTGCGCTATTGTAAAAACAGATATACAGTACTTTGTGGACCTTTTAAATAGAGTTATAACTGAATGCTACATGGTGATGAAAGACCATCTTGAATATTGCAATGGCTTTGCATGCTGGCGACTAAGGTTCATATCCTTGCAGGTTCATATTCCTGCCTCTGGAAAAACTCTTAATGCTATGCTTGGTTTCATCTGAAACATTACTTCATTGGCCCTTTTTCACCAAAGTTGCATGCAATCAAATCTGATCGTAACATAGCGCAGAATTTCACCAACAGTTTTGTTGAACATCAGTTTCATCTTTGGTGTATTTATACAAACAAATTCATGTCTCGTTGGACTGTGTGTAAATTTGAGCATAATAGTTTAGCAGCCTAAAAATAAAAATAGAAAATAACGTTAAATGTTTTTTGCACGTGGCGATCTAGTACAATCCAGTGGATGCACTTATTTTACATGCATTTTGGTGTAAACAAATGCTGCAAGCATACATATTACACTGTGGTTTTGTATTATACTACTGAACAAAGAATAAAACTACAAAACGCAGTTAGTGTAGAAACATCTCATACACTGCAGTAATACAGTTATTTTAGCAAAATAATCACGCTACACAATCAGATTATTCTACTGTTTAAAAAAAATTGAGACACCTTTTTTTCACACAGATGTTTTTTTTACATTTTATTCTTTCCAGTAACACTAAAGTTTGGTCAGTAGGGGGAGCAGTGCACTCACAGCCATTGGCTCATGAGCCCCTGAATGCTGTTGTTCTATTGGCTCTTTACTAAAACACATGCTTGTTTAGGGTGTGCTTCATGTTAATGGTAAGTAAATGAGGTGCTGGTAGGTTGGCACTTGATTTCACGCACTAATTCATCATTTGCTCATGTGCTCAAATCTCTGCTCATTTGCACGTCGTATATGTATTAGATGCAGAATACTTTGCTTGAGAATTGCAATATAATGCAAATTAGGTTTGACTTAATTAATATTCATAGTGCTCATTTTCCTCTTGCCTCCCAAAATGTCTCTGGATTGGTCTCCTGATCACCATGTTGTTTTTTTTGGTGTGCGTGTTCAGTTCTTAACTTGTAGTCAGTTAGGCTTCATTATTGTACTGAGTTGCTTGGGACCACCACTACTGAAAAAAACAGAGTTCTTACATTTTATCAGTGTTTGTATCTACATGACGCTGAAGTGCACACATTTACAGTGTGTTGTGGGATGTACGCGCTTGGTAAGGGCACACGTTTGTTCCCTAGAGTTTAAGGAGCACTGTGGAGTGCCAATAGGGAATGAATATTCCAGTGAAGAGAGAACATTTCCTTATTGGGACACCACTAAAATTATCCTTAGAGATGTCCTTAGTGACTTTCGTACATACTGTGGTACCAAAGGGGTCAATTTGGGACAGCCTATATTGTCTGTTTACTATAACTTGCAGGGCACTGTGGGTCGTTTATTGTGAACTATACAGGGCTTCAATAGAATTTGAACACTCCAGAATCAGTGGCATTACACAGTGCACTATTGTTCTGAAGGGGCACGATTCGGAACACAGTTGGCTTTTTCGTTGAGTGTGGGTTTTCCACTCGCTCGTCGAGTGTGTGTCTGTGTGTGTGTGTGTGTGTGTGTGTGTTCATTTGTGTGTGTTGCGGTCGGGGAGAATTTCCTCAGATGCCAGACTCTTTAAAGCTGAATCAGCCCTGTAGCTGCTGTAGCTTCTGTGATTCGTGCCTTGAGCTGATTCGCCGCCGGCTCTGTGCTGTTGCTTAATTCGGCCTGCTCCATTTCCAAGTCCCTTTCTACTTCAGAGAGAAGCAGATGAAGTTGTGAAGTCTGTTTTTAAAACCTCATGGTGGAGTGTGGCAGAAGACGGCAGAAAGAGTAATTGCTGTATCTCTAATGCTTGTTCAGGAGCATCAGAGGAGGATGGTTTAATGGACATAGCTGAAAGCAGTAACCTTAGATAACTCGCTGTTTCTGTCTTTCACTGCCTTTCACACACATTCTCCCTCTGTTCTGCTCTCCCTCTAATCCTCCTGAGAATGTTTTAGATTTCCCAGTTTAACACGCTCCATATGTTTGTGTCTTTTTTGTGCAGATGAAGCTGTGGAACAAGTACAAGGTGACCAGTATTCCCTCGTTGGTGTTTATTGATGCAGCCACAGGGAAGGTGGTGTGCCGAAACGGTTTGCTTGTGGTGAGAGACGATCCTAAAGGTGAGTGCCAGCCAAACACTGCTAACTTGTAAGTGTTGAGGGTAACGAGGTACAAAGTAACACGTTACAGTAATCTGACTTTTTTCATGTAGCCAAGTTATAAAGCACATTACAGTTTAAAGTCTTGTAATCGCATCACAGTTACTGACTTAATAAGAGCTGCATCAGTCGTATGTCTTTAAGAGAGCAAAACAAATTACACGCAATGCATTTATATCATAAATTATCTTTGTGTATGTTATCTGTGCCTTTGTCAGCTGACTGTACGACTGAATGTTTGTATGAGCAGCACAGGCCATACTCAGCTTTCATTCAACTACAGCTCTGTAATGCTCACGTTTTGTTGCGCAAGATTTTATCTCGGCTGTTTTTGAACTGTTCAAAACAGCATCAGCCACTCATGATGTCAATTTAGCATAGCTGGCCGTGTCTTGTTAAAAGGCAGGAAGACTGACGTCTTTTAAGTGATGTTTTTGTAAATTTCTGAAAAGGACTATTGGGTTTTGTAGTGTAGTAATTAGTAGTAAAAAGTAATGTAATTAGTAGTAATGTAGTGAGATTACTTTTTCTAGGAAGTTATAAGTCATGTAATCCCATTACATTTTGAAAGAAGTCATTTGTAACCTGTGGACTATCCCACCACCAGAGTTTTAACTGTGTAACCACTGTAACTCAACTTATTCAGGCTTGTTTTTAGAGGAATAGTTGATAAAAATGTATCATCATTAACCCCTCACCCCAAATGTAAGATGTGTGGTATCAGAATTTTGCTTTAACTAGCTACACGGCGAATTTAGCTGATAATAATGGAAGCTGATATGCTTCAGATTAGCATTGTGCAAACTGCAGCCTTTAGTAATCACCTCAGTTTCCTCCATCTGTGGAGGTAAATAACAAAGATGGGCATTTCAGTCAAGTTTTATGTTCACATTTGAATGGAAAGTAGTTCCACAAAGAAATCAAAGCTACAGGTTACTGCACACTGGATGCTTCAGGCAGGCAACATGCAGCCCACCCGCCATCCCCCCAGATAAAATGCAGAGTGTCTCATTATTACTGTGCTGTATTAACCCCTGACTCTGACCACAAATTCATAGTAGTTTTGTAGTTTACACAGAGAAACATTTCAGTCTGAAGACTAACGTTGAAAGTACTAGCCTTGCCACATCATCGCTTTTCACCTAGAACCTTAGTTTGAAAACAGCGTTGGTTTGTCAAGAGTTAGTTAGATGGGAAGTTTTATTCCATTAAATTTATGAGTACAGTGTAAAATGAACTTGAGCTTGTTGTTTTTCCAATGTGCTATAGCTGAGTTCAGTTTCTTCTGTGTGATGCTTCTTGTTTAGTGTGTGGTAGCCTTTAGCTGCCTGCTGTCTTAAAAACTCTGACCAAAACATAAGGCACAGGCACGACACTCCTCTCTGGTGGAGTATATAATTCTAATTTACTATTCAGTTTTTGAGCTATCATGACTTCGAAAATTCAACAGATGTGACTAATCCCTAGTAAGTAATCTGAATGACGTGCTGTTATCTTTTAAAATGGACGTAAGTACCTCTCATAGCTAAAACCTGTAAAAGCATCCATCTTGACTTCTTTTTCATATTTTGGCCTTTTTCTTATGTCATACAGTGTCCGAAACCACACCGTATTAGCTAACGACACAATGTGAGACAAGGGTGTGAAGATTTATGCACACAGTTAGCGTGATGCTGACGGGCAGGTGTAAATTTCCATTACTTAGCCTCATAGCTCCAGTGAAGAACTAAAGAAGCAAACTTTGAGTGACAAATATGTCTTGGCTGATGAATTACAGTTGGGCTAAGGGGAAATTTTTTGCCAAGCTATTCCTTTGACTGTCTAACTGTAATCAGATTCATTCCTCATAAAGGAATGTTTATCATTTCTGTCACAGAAAGCCCAAAAGCCCCTGAACTTTCAGTTTGAGAGCAGACTGATGCTCCTCACTAATAGAAAGGGGATGTCATCTACAGTCAGCATTTCAGTATTTTGGCATTCTACTCTTAAATGGCACCTAGCCCCCTTTCCTCAGTACAGAGGAAGCCTCATTTGTCATGAGCTGGATGAAGAGGCACGGTAGTGTGTGTGAAAGCTCCTCAGTGAAGGGAATGGCTTTCCCACCAGCAGAATGACAGATTCCTCCCCGGCCTAATGAACCCCGGCTCTGCCAGTAGCCATGCTGAATTATCCCCATGACTCATTAAGCACACTTCCATTCGGAGGTGGTGGGGTAGAGAGATGAGGAGCTCTTTCTCATTCCAGCAGCTCCTTCTTTCACTAGACAGCTCTGTGCGTGTGTTTTTTAGAGCTACTTTATATACTCAAAAAGTAGTATTAAAATTAGATTGCTCTATATTACAGTTGTAATTAGGGATGCACCCTGTGTGTGTGTGTGTGTGTGTATGTATGTATGTATGTATTATATGTATATGTGTGTGTGTGTGTGTGTGTGTGTGTGTATATATATATAGAGAGAGAGAGATCTTTTTGAAAGATTTGAATTTACCATTGCTTTAATTTTTAAATGAAAAAAAAAAAAGAAAAACCTTTATTTAAAAAAATACTGTCCCTCATGTTCATGTCACTACCGAAACACAAAGTCCATAGGTTGGGCCTTTTTTTAGCCACACCCCTGCATTTTAGAGCCGGAAGTGAGACTGCACCCCCTCATGGCCACATGGTGAGCCCTTAGATCCCAGCTAAAGATCCCCTTAGAGTCAGCTAAAAGTCCAAAATATGTTTTCAACTCTGACTGATCAAATTGGTAGAACGATTCATCTCATTATTCTTTGGGATTATGTTTACATTAGGGCCATAGATTTCACTGTGAGACATAGTGGCCAAGTGGCTTCACTGTGTACAGAATGACATCAGCTATCTGGCCCTGTAATGTGTGTGTGTATCTGTGGTGCAGAGACAGAAGTGAGGTAGAGGGTGGGCTCTGAATGTGAGTGTGTCTGAGTGGTGGCAGCGTGAGCAGCTTAATGCTGGAGAGTTTCTGCAGTTTCTTTAACCGCAGCGGGAGCTGCTCAGTAGGACACAGCCTCCGGGCCTCACGAAGCTCTCCTCAGAAAGCCACTCCTTTATAAATGTGCCTTCAGAGGTTGTAGCCAGCTCTGTTTATGGTTAGCTGTTTCACGTTCCTTCCCGGAGCATCTTCTCTGTGGGACACTGACAGTGGAGAGACAGAGAGAGAGAGAGAGTGTCTTTATGAGAAATGCAAAGTGGTATTGTTCAGCTGGTATTACGAGCACGTTTCACATCTGCTGCTGTTTGCATTTGTTGCTGCTCTTTTCCATTTCCAAGTGCAAATTGAATGCAGAGACCAGCGCATGCAGTTCATTCTGATTAGAAATATATGGATGACAAAATCAGACCACATACTCGTGTTCATTATAGCGCTCTGTGCCAGAGACGGTGAAGTAACGCTCACGCTCGCTCTCTCTCTCTCTCTCTCTCTCTCTCTCTCTCTCTCTCTCTCTCTCTCTCTCTCTCTCCTCTCTCTACCCTCTCTCTAATTCTCTCTATCTGCTTTTTTCTCTCTCTGTCTATCTCTGCCTCTTTTTCTTTCTTTCTTTCCTTCTGTCTGTCTTTCTTCTCTCTCCCTGGGTCCTTTCTTTTTTTCTCTTTTACTGCTTTTCTGATCTTTCTCTCTTTTTAAATTTCTTTCTTTTACTTCTTTCTCTCACTCTTGCTCTGTTTTTCTTTTTTTGTTTTTTGATTTCTCTCTCTCTCTCTCTCTCTCTCTCAGGTTTAGAGTTCCCCTGGGGTCCAAAGCCGTTTGCAGAGGTCGTGGCCGGACCCCTGCTCCGGAACAACAGGCAGACGACAGACAGCAGCACCCTGGAGGGCTCCTATGTGGGGGTGTACTTTTCTGCGCACTGGGTAAGCGTGTATGTTTTAGAAGACCCTTCTGAGAGCGCAACGTCTCTTCATGTTGACTGCAGGTCAAACAACTAGAAGTTCAGTAGAGGGGAAATGTCTGAGCGCCCTGTTACTCAAACAGTGTCACTCTATATGAAGACTCCATTGGAATCACTGTTCAAACTATAGGGTCTGTTAAAGGAATATTTTGTACAGATTTGTACAGTTTCCCTCTTGTCTCAAAGGTAGAAGATCAGCCAAGATGTCTGAAGTTTAATTTTCACTGGAGCTGCAAGGCTAATGGAAGTTTATACCCCACCAGTTAGCATGAAGCAAACTGCATGCCTACATCACACACTCACCTTCAACCACGTTGCGTCTCCAATAGACTTGCTAATGTTTTCTGATACTGTTGATTTTTCTGTTGATTTTTTTCTAGTGTTGAATTTTTGAAGTGATAAAGGAGTGAAAACAACCTCTGCAGTTATTTTAAAAAATTCTGCAAATGTTGATGCACAATAACTTGAAATGTTAGCTGTTAGCAATTCCAGAGCGTAATAAATTCTCTGACTCGTCAAACTTTGTGCTAACACTCCTATAATCAGCTGGATAAGAATTCGAAAATTGAAGCTTATTGATGCCTACTAAACAGAGTAAGGCTAAAAAATGTTATTGAAGCTTCCAAGTTGTGGTTTCCACTGTTCAAAACGGTCTAGACGGTCCGAGGCATTTTGAAAACAAAAATGTAAAAATTGAACTTTGTGGCCACTATCACCAAAATATGTTTGGAGAAAAAGGAGCAGCATGAAAAGAACACCTTGCTAACTGTTAGGCATGGAGTGGATCTGTTATGTTTTGAGGTTGTGTAGCAGCCAGTTTCACAGAAAGCAATACACAAGTAGATGGAACAATAGGTTCCACTAAATATCTGGAAATTCTGAAAGCAAATGTGACAGTCAAGAAACTTAAGCTGAAAAGAGGCTGGCTTCTTTAACAGGACAAAGATCCAAAACATACCCAAATCAAAATCCACCATGAACTACTACAAATTGCTACGGAATGACTGTCACAGTCCCCTGACCTGAACATAATTTAAAATCCTGGGGGTCGATCTTAAAGACTGTGCATGCAAGATGGCCAGGAATTTTGCTGTAAGGAAGAGGTGAAAATTCCTAAAACAAGAGCGAAAAGTGTTTGCAAACTGTGACGTCTGCCAAACTGCGCATTTCACAATTACTATTTGCTCGAGAGGTTGTGTTTATTTCCTTTTACTTTAAAAATCAACAAAATATGTAATTTGGCCAGGAGTGCCCAAACATGCAACTGTTTATGCAACTGTTTATGTAACTGTGGATGGGGTTAAAAGAAAAATAGCAAGTTAGGCTGTGATACAGCTCTGTTGGTTAGTTGAGTTGGGTTGCGCAGAGCTACCCCACATTTGCAAGAACAGTTCTATATGACAGTGTTTTTAAGTGAAGTTCAGATGCCTCTCCAGTGAGCTGTAACAAAAAGGGAACAAACTACCAAAATGGGTATACAGCCTTGTGGGCAGGACGGTGCAACAATGCTTTTGGCATCATACATTTACCTGGTAAAAAACAGTAGTAGCAGCTATCTATAAAGCCTCACATGCTTGTGCTGATAACAGTATGTCCATACATCAGAAACCACATAAGCAAGTCTTTATGAAATTACTTAACAACTCAACACAGTTTGAGTTGTTGATAATTCAGGCATACAGTTTGCACGGTGCAAATTGGTGGACTATTATCTTCCATAAATTGTTAGCTAAAATAACCCTCGTATCTTTAGTGCACAACTTTAGACACCAAACATGTCTTGGCTGATGGTGCGTTTTACCCAAATTATTGTCTTCTTTAATTTCTCCCTTTGTCCAGTGTGTGAGTTGAGCATATGAGCTACTGAATCATGCATGCTGCCTCTAGACTTAAAGCCCCACCAGCCCTTATTAATGTGTCATTACATCTCTCAGTGGAGCTCATGTATAACAGATCCTCTATTAAACTTACATAATAAACACTGAAGTGTCGGTGTCAGTTTTCCCGCAATACCCTTTTCCTTCCTCCCCCCCTCCATGAAAAGGACCTTAGATAACCTCAGGCAGGCGAACAGGGAGCTTGTCTTCTTTTATCTTTGTTTGTTTGTGTGTGTGTGGAGGGGAAGGCAGATTTTCACTTAACCCTTACGCGTCTGTAGGGCACAGTGCATTACTTTTACATTCAGTTTACCTTCTATATCAACAGGTCCAGTATTGCATTTCTGACTTTTTTTCCTATTTAATGACAACAGTTATGCAAAAGTGTAAAAGATTTTCTTTTTCAAAACAAGACTGCACACATAACAATAACTTGACGAGTCCATGAAATTGGACTGTCCATGCTCCACGTTCTTTTGTAACGACTTGCTAAATTGGACAAGCATTCGCAAAAACATCTGGTCGATTTTTACGCTCAGCAGCTCCATCAGAAACTTCCTCGGTGTGGTGTCTGCTGTTTTAACATGACTAAACTTCGTGGCCTACACTACAGGGTGCTGTAGGATGGCTGAAGTTACTGACAGCATCCATCTGTTGTAGTTGTGTCGACATTACTGCAAAAACAGAAAGCCAGAGTTCTTGCCACAACCTGCTTAAATAAAGCAAACAACTCTGTAACAGGGATAGAGAGACAAATAGAGGAAGCTTGGTGCACAACTTATTTCTATTTTCTGAGTTTAACTTATTGGAAAAAACATACAACATGAAATATAAAATGTGCTATAACTTTTTTGCACAGGCCATATTTTAATTTTAATGTTTCCCCAAAATGAAACACATAGAAAATCAACAGTAATTGTGTATTAAAATGTGCAGAAGTATGTTCTCTGTAGAGGATATGTTGACTTATTTACACTTCAAAATCAATAAAACATGAAATTTGACCAGGGTGTCTAAAATTTTGCTTAGTGAGAGACTTTAAAGGATTAAAAGAAGAGGGAGTGACATGGAGGACAGGAACTCAAGAATCAGGCTCAGGCCCTCTGGAGGAGAGGAGTGTATTGTAGTGAGTGTAGAGTGTAGAGAGAGTTGGTTTGTCTGTGCACTCAGCTCTGTAAAGCTCTCAGAGCAAAAGGAAGTCATATTTCTCCTCAGGCTTTTTTGTGGTTGCACTGGAGGAAGAGGCGCAGTAAATATAGAGAACGCTTTGGGCATCTCAGGGCAAGGCTGATCTCACTGGCCTACTGTTTGTGCTGATGTAATGATTTTGTGTGTGTGCGTGTGTCTCTGTGTGTGTATGTGTGTGTGTGTGTGTGTGTGCGTGCGTGTATGGTCACACAGTGTCCTCCATGCCGCAGTCTGACTCGAGTGCTGGTGGAGTCCTACCGCAAAGTGAAGGAATCAGGACACAAGTTTGAGATTGTATTTGTGAGTGCAGACAGGTAAGACACACACTCACACATTCACACTCCTGTGATGCATAACACACCCACACACACCAATGCACATTACACGTACCACACACACAAAAAGAACCACCCGAACATAGTAGTTCAAAATAAGCAGTCTGCACAGGCATGAAATTGAAGCCCGATCAGGCCCTAGTGTTACCACTAATTGTGAAACCCAAACCTGATCTAAACCTGGTCCGAACTTGGTTCTGAACCTGAACCGAACCTGATCCGAACCTGATCTGAACTCTATCTGAATCTGATCCAAACTTGATTCAAACTCTGTCAGAACCTGATCTGAACTTGATCTGATCCTGATCATTACTCGATCCAATGTCTTTCTGAACTTGATCTGAACCTGATCCGAACTCGATCCAAGCTCTGTCTGAACTTGATCTGAACCTGATTCGAACTTGATCCAAACTCTGTCCGAACCTGATCCAAACCTGACCTAAATGTGAGCTTGCTTGCTTGCGTGCACTAACAGAGTCGCAGATATGGTTTTACTAAACAAAGCACAGCTCTGTGAAAAATGCCATGTTGGGATAAACTGGTATTTCGCACATCTGTAATACACTGGCAGTATCTTTCACAGTATGTTTTTGTGGATTTTTCAGTGGTAGCTGGCAGAGAACAGCGCTCTGATGTGCTGTTGAACTTCATCTCCAGTTGCGTTGAAGGACAGTTTCACCCACTCTTTAAACTCTGGAGCTGTTCTGAACACAGCCATAGATTATAACTATTACTAGTGAAAGATCAAATGCATGAGGGCTTGAAATTCATATGATGTTTCTTTTAATAAAAAATACCTCATTAAGAAGCAAAACTGAGCTAATGTACATGAAACGTACAAATTTGGTCTGAACAACAATATTTTTGTCTGCCCAGTCAGGCGCGGCTTGAGGAGCAGACCTTTACCCAACATGCACTGCTGTCAAAAGTTTGGGGACTTGCTTTCTGAAATTTTCTACATAATGTTTGATTTTCATACTTTTAAAAATAAAATGAGAAAAATTATGAGCGATGGTTTTAGTTAGTGGAAAACAGCTATTAGCCAATGTTTTGGGTATATTTTGCGACTCTTCTCTTACTGTTCATCAAAGTGAGCAGGTTTTGCTAAAGGCTTTGACAGAAATATTTCCAAACTATTGCTAAAAGCTCATATTGAAACTCTTTTGGCACAAAGATGGTTTAAACAGGTGATAGGTTTGAGTGCTGGTGAGCGCTGACATCAAAACAAGGGGGAAAATATTTGACATTATTCTCAAGCAAGCTTCAGTGTTTGTTATTGAAAATGAACATAGTAAATTTGTTAATTTATACTAAAATGTTGACAGGCAATATATATGATGTCTCAGTACACACACACACACTCTTGTTTCTCTGGTTTGTGGAGTGCAGGTCAGAAGATTCCTTCACGCAGTATTTCAGTGAAATGCCTTGGCTGGCCGTGCCGTACACAGATGAAGCCCGGAGATCCCGCCTCAACAGACTCTACGGCATACAAGGTACACAAAGTCGGTCCTCCAGCCCCAAACGACTACACCCTGAACCCTGTGACCGAGAGTGCATCAGGTTAAATAACAGGGTGTGGATGGTTTGGTGTAGTGAAGTGTCACATTTACTGTAATCACAGAGAGAGAGAGAGAGAGAGAGAGAGAGGATAGAGAGAGAGAGAGAGAAGCTGTTGAGCCTGAGGAATGTGGGCAGCTGATCAAATTTGCAGTTCAGCTACTGTAGAGCAAAGCTTCCTCTGTACTTCTCTCCCTCCCTGATAGAACAGTGCGGTATACACTATATACAAGTATTGCAATTGTGCTGCTACACATTACAAAACACCCACAGAAACACTGGAACTGGCTGGTCAAGATGGTCACAGTACACAGTAGAAAGAAATTGTGATGGATTACTTAACTTATCTGCATATTGATATTAGTATTGAGAAGACAAATGTTGTAATATTGTTAAAAAGAATGTAAATTATATATGGTTTTCCTTTGTAAGCTGAAATCTGCTTGTGTGCATGTTCATTGTAAGATTCTTGCCCTGCCTCGGGGAAACTTGAGCCACAGCACAAATGGACAGTTGTTATCAGTGTCTGCATCAACGTGCTATTCTGCTTGTTCCCTCAGCTGTGATGCCTGCTGGTGCTGTTGTTACATGTTGGCAGATGATTCTTTTGACCTGACAGAGGCGGGGAAATTCAGTTTAAGCAATGACATATCTAAGTCTAAACTTAGAGAAATGCATTTTAAACAGAGCAGCTTTAAGTGTATCATTGTTTAGATTTGGTGCTGTTGTGCCTTAAATTGACAGATATCCACCTCTTACAATTGTGGTACTTGGGGATGTACGAAGATATCGGAATCATATTGGTATCAGCAGATAATTGTTAAAAAAATTTATTATTCTTGCAAGATTCAGCTCTAGTGTTTATGGTAGTTGTAGTCCTTCAGGTAGAGAGCCTCACAATGTACAAAAATGTGTTTAGTGTGAGAGTTTAGTGTCATGTGTAAAGCCTCAAGTGGATTCATGCACCCATGCTATACCTTTTACTATTTTGGTCCTTTATCCCTTTTAGAATTAACTGTCTGAGCTTACCTTTAAGATATAAACTATTTCACTTGCTGTTTGGAAATCTGGAGAAAAAGCATCACATGTGTGCTAATAGCACCCCCAGTTATGGGAATCTGAATTATTGCAGAGAGAATACATTATATATTTGACAAAATTAACATTTAAAATTTAAATCTTTAAAAAAAATTAATGCATTTATTTTCACAGTTAAAATGACACGACTCAATGATTCACTCAGTTTATTAGCTACCTAAGCTTAGCTTACATTAGCTGAATTAGCTAGTGAACAAGTACTCACTGTAGCAACAGTAAGCAGCACTATTCTAAAATGACAAAATAAAAAGAGAACAGTAAAAGAAGACAGTGGCATAACAAGTACATTTACCTGCTTAGCCAGTCAGCCAATCACTTTCTCAGGTTGGAAGCAGAGCTGTAAAAGGTGTTGATTTAAAAAAAAACAAAACAAAAAAGCTTTGGAATTAAAAAATGACTATAGTTTAATGCTTAGACTTAAACTAGTCTGTATACTTAGATAAACTCGATAGAGTTAAATTATAGTGATTTAAATTGTGTTCAAGAAAGCACTGGCAGAAAATGTACCTAATTACTGTTACACAAATCTCTGTAGTAGCTTTCTACTTCATATAGAATATTTTTATACATTCAGCCTTTGGAAAGAGGTCCATGCGAGATCATAACCGAAGAACTAGCCTGCTTCTCACTGTCTGCCTGTCATCCTGTTCTCTTTTCTCTGTTTCTCACTCCAAATCTCCCTTTCTCTCTTTATCTCTCCTTTCTGTCTCTGATTGCTGGCTGTGGGCTTGTTTTGGCTGGAATGAGTGGAATTCACGCTGGCTAGAGGAGCAGCCACTGACCGTGTCCACCCAACTCAAAACTCACTCACTCTGACAGAGTCTGATAAGGCAGCTAATGCTGCAGCCAGAGGCCGAGCTCTAACCAGCCAGACACATCTGCACGCACATGTGCATTCAGATACAGCTGTGGAGCTCAGCCTGGCCACGACTTGAGTACACCTGAAAGCTGCACTCTGTGCACTCACACAAACCCACACTATTCCAAAATAACTCCTCAGGGAAAAAGATATAAAAGGGCTTTAAAAGTGTGGCAGAGGAAAAAAAGGCTTATGGGTTCCAGCTGTAAAAGCTGATGTAGGCTGTGTGTTTGGAGATGTTCTAGTTATCAGTCTTATATTTCAGTGAGTGAGACTGTAAATAATACTGTTGTTTTATGTTAAGGTTTATATTTATGATGCTAAACGAGGAAAGCATTTCACTTGTCTTTCACTTGTAGTGTCATACTGGTGTAAATGACAGTAAATCTATCTGTCTGTGCAGAAATGCAGTACATTTTGACAATTTAACAATATAGCCTATAACTTCTGGTTTGGAAGAATGATCGTTCTGTATTATCTCGTGTGCGTGTGTCTGCTCTACAGGCATCCCCACACTGATCCTGCTGGACACGGAGGGTCACATGATCACGCGGCAGGGCCGAGTGGAGGTGCTGAATGACCCAGAGTGTCGGCTGTTTCCATGGCACCCAAGGCCCGTCCTGGAGCTCAGCGAGTCCAACGCAGTGCAGCTCCATGAGGGACCCTGCCTCGTACTGTTTGTAGGTGAGCACTCAGTGTGTGCATTTGCATGTATGTGTTATTTGTTTTTTTTCATGATGAAAAATTATTTTTATTATTACACATAGGTACTTTCAGTACTGTGCAAAAGTCTGAGATAATTCCATTTAATGATTTCAGGCAAGCATTTACGAAGTAAAAGTTTATTTTAAATTTGTAAGGGGATTAATTAATTAAACACAAGATGATTCACTGCACAAGGAAGTTCAAAAACTTATTAAAACATACAGAGAAAATGGGACTCCTTAGAGTCCTGGCAGACAGCCAAAACTGTCACTATCAGATCAACAGTACATACAGCTTTCATCATTGAGAGAGAGGAGAAAATCAAGCTCCACTCTTACTTCAGATCTGAAAAATCCACAGCTGTTTCTGTCCATCCTTCCACTGTAAGAAGACAGCACAACACTGTGTCAAGAAGCCCTTACTGATAAAAGGAAACAAAAAGAAAAGAAGCCAAATTTGTAAAATTTGCAAATAAAACAAAGATCTCAACATAATTGAATGTGTTTGTGATTACTTGGGTCATGAAAACCAGAACATGCAACCAACTTCTAAGACTGAACTTTGGAGGAGGGGAAAAACATCCCTACAGATTTATTTGCAAAACTGAAAGCAGGGCTCCCAAAAATGATGGAAGCTGTAGTAATATATATATGTGTGTGTGTGTGTGTGTGTGTGCACGCCCCCATGTCCTGACGAGGTATAAAAACAAACCTGAGTGTGTGTAAGAGGGAGGTTGTCATCACACTCCTGTGAGGCAGAGTGAAGTAAGAGTAAGATGAGATCTTTGTTTTAGCTCATGCTCCTGTGAGATTACATCGGACGGGCATTCTGAGGCCATCTGCTCTTCTCTCTTCTGTTTTCTTCCTCCTTCATCCAGTCTTATCCATCCATCCCAGCCATCTATCATGTCACCCTCATTCAGTTCTTTCTCTGCTCCTCCTCATTTATCTGCTGGAGGACATGATGGCTCATTTCACCCTTGGTCTTTCACATCTCTGACCCTCTCCCCTCTTCTGCCTTTTTCTGCACTCTTCCCTTCTCCTTTCTTCCTTTCCGTTTTTCCTCTCCTCTCACGCAGTCTTTGCTCTCTCTCTCTCTTTTTCAGACGCAGAGGAGGAGGGTGAGTTGGAGCCGGCCAAGGAGCTGATCCAGCCAATCGCAGAGAAGATCATGGCCAAGTACAAGGCCAAGGACGAGGAAACCCCGCTGCTGTTTTTTGTGGCTGGAGAGGTGTGTGTGTGTGTGTGTGTGTGTGTGTGTGTGTTAGTCTGGCTGTGTGCCTGTGTGTTTCACTGACAGGTTTGATTGCCACTATTTTGGCCCAATCAGAGGAGGGCACTTTTTCTGCATGAATAGCCATTTAACTGTCAACTATTATTTGACTCATTGACTAATCTAAGTATTATGCCTTCTTCACTTCCTCTAAATTTTGCCACCATCATCATAGCAACTATATTTTTTATTGTGCAGCAAAACAACGGAAATCGTATAGCCTTCTATGCTCCCCTTTAATGTATTAAAATTAGAGCTGTTGCTATTAATTATTAAAGGAATGTTCTGCAAAAAAAAAATACAGAGTTTTCGACTTACCCCATGTGTAGCCAATCAGCCAATACATGTTTGGAATCCAAATTTTGCATCTTTAGTTTAAACTGGAGCTATGAGGCAAAGTTGCTAACAAACACTAGAAGTCAAAAAACCACATTCACATCTTGAGTAAGATTGTGCAGACTTATTGATGTAGTTTAGGGCAAAGTTTGACTTACTGTGAACTGTAAAATGAAAAAAACTCACCTTAAAAGCTTTACTTGTCTAAAACTATTCAGCTACATGGACCTCAGCTACACTGCCCTCAGTCTAACTGTCCTCTGAACTACAGCGACAGGTCTGTGTGATTTTAATGAAGACCCAGAGGTGGACTGAGAGATGGGTATACAACATTAGCATGACTGTTCTAGTGCTTGCTAGCTACATTAACCTTGTAGTTCCAGCGCAAAAAGCTAAAGAAGCAAAGTTTGGCCACCAAACATGTCTCAGCCAGTCAGCTGTGTCTGGGCTAAGTGGAAAATTGTGAGAATTGTTTTGATTTTTTCTTTGCCATTGAACCATTACAACCATTAACAATCTTAGGTCTCATTTGCTAATAAATAAAGTGAGACCTATTGGTGGACTCCCCCTACAGATGATCTACAGATGTTCAAATTGTTAACAAACTATCTGTTGAAACTCAGTTGATTCTGGTGGGGTTAGGGTTAGGATTTGAGGGTTGGGTTTAGATTTTGGGTTGAGGTTAAGGTTAGTTTTAGGATTATAGCCAGGTTTAGAGTTAAAGAAAATTAGGGTCAACTTAGTAGATATTTAGTTGAATGTAACTTAAAGTAAATGTAGTATCTAAAGTGGACTATCCAAATAAAGTGCTACCTAAACTTACGATAAGTTATCCAATTATTATGAATAATTAGTTTTACAGTTTAAAAAGAGCCAGACAAGAGAAATGGATTTAACTGAACAATAACAAACCATGCAGAGCCTTCCAAAGATTCCAGAATACTTAATGTGTGTGTGTGTGTGTGTATATATATATATATATATATATATATATATATATATATATATAAACATCAGGCTTTGTTTTGTACTGTAAGAAAGACCAGAGAATCTAAAATAGGCAAATCACCATCTAATCATTGCTGGTTCATTGAGAAGGTAAATTTTAATCCATGAAATTCAAGTTTGAGTAAAGATGAACATGATCTGTCAAAACAACCATGTACATTTTATGAGCATTGTGTAGCCCTTTTTTAAAGAACGTCACCTTTTTTTCCATAATCATCGTCCTCAACTCTTCTTGACTAATCGCCACAGCCATACTGTTTTTGTGCAGGTGCGATGCGCCATCTGTTCCTGTAACTTGTAATATAATCTGTTAGGAGGCTTGTCTACACTTACCACCATAAACATCAAGAGACTCAGAGCCTGCATTGGAAAACACATGGAGAGCAGATTTCAGCTCATGCTGTTGCTCTCCCTCTCCTGAAGAACTGCCGAGTCTCTCTCAATCTCCTCTCTCCCTCCCCAATCATCACTCTCTCTGAGAGAGAGGAAGCCCCATGTTTTCTTATCTCTCGTTTTCTCTCCCTGAACACACCACAGCTCAGAGTCAGCAGCAGGAGCTGAAATGGCCTGATTAGCTGCCCCTCTACTGCTCTGTTTCTTCTCTCTGCTCTCCTATGGGTCGATGCACATTTTTTAAGCTCATTACAATTTTGATTCCAAAGTCAAGATTTGACTTGATTTTCGAGAACGAAATAACCCCTAAAAATCACAGGTTCTAGAATTTATAACTTCAGAAAAGAAGCCCAGTCACTTGAACAAAAACATCGGTGTATATTGTGGGGGGAACAGGTCCCATCCACCTTTTGAAATAACGCAAGATCATTGTTGTGGAGTAGTAGGGTAGTTGTTGACAGTAGTACATAGACTGTATTTCCAAGATTCTGGCACTCCTCCTCATTAGTGAATTCAGCCACTTTAAAGCCCTTGTCTACTCATTTTCATTAATTTATTCGATTATGTATAGTTTTTGTGATGTTTTGCTATGAACTGGCAGTAAAAGAATGCTGTTGGCCTTTTCTGTTGAGTAATTTTGAAAATGACTTTTTCTGCTGTTTCTTTCATTTGAATTGAGTTGAGTGGGACTGAATTTGGCTTAGGTGACATCATCTGGAAATGAGATCCACCGCAGTACCAATCACAGTTAGTAATACATATACATCAGCTCGCTCTTTTCCTTCACATAAAGTGACTGCTCTCCCACTGCCAGCTCCTTGGTTATTTAGGCTTTTCTGCATTTGTTAATGGTGCTTGTTATGAAGGTTTATCACATCATTGTTTATATTGTAGCTAGACACTTTTTCTACTTGCGTTAGCTGCATGTTGCTGGATCCTACTATAAGCGAATAACTTCATTTATGAGAGCGCAATAGCACCACCTTAACTGTAGGAAAAAAATGCTAATAGGCTACTCCCCCACTGGGGTGAGTTGGGGTGGCTTTTGTGATCCAGACCTATTTATCCAACATCAGTACCTGACCTCGCTAATGCTCATGTCGCTGAATGCAGTCAGATCCTCACAGCAATGTTGCAACATGTAGTGTAAAGCATTCTCAGAAGAGTTGGGACTGTTACTGTTGCAAAGTGGTAACTAGCTACCTGTTAATACCCTTGATTACAGAAGAAAAACTGGATGAGCAGGTGTCTACAAGCTTAAGCCCCTCTCCCTCCCCACCACTTTTCCCTGATGGGATGCAACCAGATGCACTTACTGCTGACAGTGGTTTCCAATTTTGCACCAGTGAATGGGGAACAATATTATTAACTAATATAACATTATCATTTGCATCCTGCTCCCACCAACCTGCCTGTCATCAAGCAAACTTGCTCAGACCTGTTTGAAGTTACAATATAGGGGTGCAAAAACTTCTGCATACGACTGTGTCATGGTTTAGAAGAGATGCCATGAGAATATGAATGAATTTATTTCAGTTTACACTTAGTTACTCTCTCTCTCTCTCTCTCTCTCTCTCTCTCTCTCTCTCTCGTCAGTATGATATATGTGGTTGTTCTTATGGTTTGTATTACAGACGAGTGCATATGTTTCTGTCTGCCGCTCCATGTGTCTGTCTGAAGCCTCGCCACACCCCCACTATCAGCTATACATTCGCTCAGCTCTACGCTTACTGTAAACCAACACCAGCTGCACACACACACTCACACACTGTAGACCTCAGCGCTCACAGTAAAACACCAGCACCCCCTTTATCTCGCGCTGACTCTCTGAGCCTAACAGAGAACTGTTCCTTCTCAGCACTGTTTTTAATTAAATGTGGATTTTCCATCCAAATACACAACATGTAGAGTTTAGGACCAAGCATTAGGTGGCCTTCGGTCCAGTGTGGTCTCGTTGCACAATGTTTTTCACCTTCGCCTTTGACTAGCCGGCAGAACTTTTTAACACCTGATTGACATCGTCTTTAATAGCCTATAATCTGTTAGTTTTATCTAACATTGCATTTTGAATGTTTGCAGTCTACAAGGAGTATTTAGGCATTTTCAGACAATCGTTAGTGTTTTAGCATTTTTAGGAGTTGCATGACAAACGTTTACAAGCCTACAAGGCAAATGATTTTTACCAATACACTGATACAGTGCAAAATAAAGTTGGCCTAATGGCATGTTGCTTTGACATAGAAACCAAGCTACACTGGGGGGAAAAAATCTCAAAAATGATAAAAAGTCAGCCAGTAGGGTGCCAGACAAAACCTGTTACTTACCAGTAAAAATATATTTTCTCATTTTCTCAATGATAAAAATCTGTAAAATGAGTCATTAAATTTCTTAGAAATACTGCCTTTTACTGTAGTCCAGCAGTTTCACTAGTTCAACTATTTCTAATCCTGACCTACAGTATTTTACTATAATAATAACTAACAGCCGTTAAGATAAAAAAGGTGGTAAAAGTTATCATTTGTTTTTATGAGTTTATATTCTATTTCTGTAAATTAACACTGATGTTAAAATACAGTATTTGTGTGGTTTATTTACATGCATTTAACTTTTTTTAATAAGACAAGCAGTATTGACAGTTTTCCAGTACTTGTACAGTGAAAATACTTTTTACAGTGTAGCTTAGCAACTTTTTTTTTTTGCTAATGCTGTAGTTCCAGATTTAAGGCTTTCAGAGACTTAAAAATTCCAATTAAGTTTTGGGTCTCATACTTAATTAATTAAATATTTGTTTTATTTTTATTAATTTTATATTTTACATTCAGTTTTCTAGAAGAGTCTACTATGATGAGCATATTTAGTGAGCACCAAAATGAGCATGCTCAGGCCAGTGGTCTGATCAGTCATGGAGTAAAGGGTACTAGAAGGGTACTGAGAGGATACAGAGTGGGGAGTTTGGACACTGGACCCCCCCGGGGACCGACCAGCTGCTGCGCGTCAGGGCTAGTGAGACACCAGAGCTGGGTGTGTGTGTGTATGTGTGTGTGGTCAGCTTACAGAGATCAAAAGGAAACTCAGTTACCCCACCAGAGAAACCCCCGATTCTTCTTCTGGTATTTCTTTGAAGATATTTTGACTCTTTGAAGAGGATAATTACTGTCACGATACTTTTTAAATGTAATTATATCAGTTCATAGTTACATAATAAAGTACATTTACATTCA